GATCTTGAAGGTTCTTTCCAACCTAGTGAGTCTGTAATTCTGTAATCTAAATCTACCCTCTTGCAGTTTAAAGCCATTGCCCCATGTCCCATCACTACATGTCCTAGTAAAAAGTCCCTCTCCAGCTTTCCTGTAGGCCTCCTTCAGGTACTGGAAGGCTGCTATAAGGTCTCCCCAGAGCCTTCTCTTTTCTGGGCTGAACAACCCCAACTCTCTCAGACTGTCTTCACAGGAGAGCCCCCTGATCATCTGCATGGCCCTCCTATGGACCTGCTCCAACAGGTCCATGTCTTTCTTATGTTGGGAGCCCCAGAGCTGGATGAAATACTCCAGGTGGGGTCTCACCAGAGCAGAGTAGAGGGGCAGAATCACTTCCCTTGACCTGCTGGCCACGCTTCTTTTGAAGCAGCCCAGGATGCGATCGGCCTTCTATGCTGCAAGTGCACATTGCCAGGTGATGTTGAGCTTCTTTCATCAATCAACACCCCCGAGTCCTTCTCCTCAAGGCTGCTCTGAATCCATTCTCCACCCAGCCTGTATCCATGTTTGGGATTGCTCCGACCCAGGTGCAGGACCCTGCACTTGGCCTTGTTGAACTTCATGAGGTTCGCATAGGCCCACCTCTCCAGCCTGTCAAGGCCCCTCTGGATGGCATCCCTTCTCTCCAGTGTGTCGTCTGCACCACACAGCTTGGTGTTGTTGGCAAACCTGCTGCGGGTGCACTCAATACTGCTGTCCGTGTCACTGGCAAAGATGTTAAACAGTGCCAGTCCCGGTACTGACCCCTGAGGAATGCCACTCGTCACTGGTCTCTCATTTCCCTTCCTTATGGGGTAGTAAATCCTTGTAGGCAGTAGCTTCATCTTTTTAAAAGTGGAAAGGGATACTGAGGTTTTACAAACGTTTATACACAGAACTTAAAAATAGACAGCTTTTTCTATTTACTGCAATACTTGATTTCTTACTCCTCTTTTTTTTAGTATTCTTTTTGTTGTTTTTTTTTTTTCAGTTCCTGCCTTAGTGAATTCATTCCAGTGTGAACCAGTGGCCAGGGAGTCTTCCCTAATGCTGAAGTGGGAATGTCCTTCTGGTAACAATTCTGGCTTCAAAATTAAAATCTTTAATGATACGTGGGAAAAAGAAGAACAGACTCTATCCTGCATCACAGAAGGCTCAGAGGAAACCTTCAGAATAGCATCTTTAGATTATTTCAGCACCTATACTGTTACTATTGCAACTCTTTCAAATAGTTCTGAAAGCCCTTCAGTGCAGAAAATGTGTAATACGAGCATTACTGGTAAGCATCAAGATTTGAGAATGAAAGATATTCATAGGACCAAAATATTAACATCGTGATTGCAGAATACCAAACTTGATATGCCATTATTAGCCTACAGATTATGAATAAAACACTACCTTCATGCAAAGTGAAATGTGATGCACAATAAATATGCATTATATGAACGGCATCAGTATTACAGCATTTTCTTGTTTGGAAAACTTTTCTTTATCTGTCATTAGGGTACTAAAACATATTTCTTTTCATAGACCCACCTGCTCCAAGCAAAGCTCCTTTAGTCAAGGCAGTCAGTCACAGCTCGTTGTCTGTTGAATTCTCTGATTTTGAGTCAGTGAATGGACCATTGAAAGCCTATGCAGTAATGATCACAACAGAAGAACAAGGTAAGATGTTATGATATTATCTTGTAGTGTGTGAGAAACATTTATCAGACAGTATTATGTCTTAAACTCTAGGTGTTAAGTGCATAAGAGAAAAAGCTGACTCAGTATTTTCAATCACCTTTCAAAAGTCATGAGACAAATATCTTGCTTGCTTGAAATCAGATCACTCCTTGTTTTCAGAAAGCCACTGTTTTCACTCACCCTTTTCCAGCTTGACTTATCCTTGCATATGTCTTATATGTATTGCCATTGTGCTTATTGCCATCTTGATTTGCCAGTGATTCCTGCCACAAGATCGTGTAGTATGCTTTTTTTCCCCCCACAGAATAATTTTCAGGGCTACTAATATAACCAACTTTGGAATGTAGGATGTTTTTTCTCCCTTCTTCAGCTGGAAGTACCTGAAGTAAGATCTTAAAAAACAAACAAACAAACAAACAAAAAAAGCTTTCCTTCTGATTTTACTTAAAACACTTTATTAACTGAGAGAGATGGAGTGCAGGTGGAAGGCTTGAATAGCATTGTCAGCGTTACATGCCATGGGAGGTTGAATGCCAGGGAAAGCCAGAGAGGGAAGTCTATCAAACTCACCTCTTTAGAGCATCAAAACAGAGAAAGGTCTTTAATTGGTGAATGTCTAGTGATGAATCATAAAATTAAGGAACTTACCTTTGCAGTGTTCTTTTCATTTCTGCCAGTCTACTGGAGGAATAAAGCAGCTGATGGAGATGGTTTCCCCCAAGTGGGATTTGACATTCATGCTTATCTATCTAGTCTTAACACTGGAAATTCAACTTGCAGCATTTTGACTGTAGGTCTTTCTTCTGTGGTTTCCCATACAATATATGTCCAAGAAATGCCCGTATATATATGTATAGTACATCAGTGTAGAAAATTCCTATTTTTCGTATACCTCTTCAGCTGCCCCACAGTTGTTGATTTGAATTGTCGATCTCTTACACAGAGCTTTGCTTGTACCTTCAGCCAATTCTATTTAGTCTTGATGAGATTCAGTGTGTTCTTCTGTGTGGTTTTGATTGCAAGGTATTCAAGAAAGAGGACTTTCAAGATGTGATTGAAAGAAATAAGGAAGGAAGATCACTTGTATTTATAATATAGAGTCTGAGTGCTTTGATAGGGGTAGAAAACCATCCCCATGGCCAACGATTGCTTCAGCTTTATAGTGTTGAAATAGCAGTAATATGCTTGAGATATCTTTCTCTGTCTTAAAACAGACATCATTGCCTTTAGGATGGAGACAGGGGACTTTATTCCATTGTGTAAGCAGTGATGTCTAAGGCTGTTTTGGATATTACCCTAGGACATCTCAAGACATCCACGAGGAGCTGCAGATGTAACTTGGGGTGTACATCCATTTGGAATGGAAACTAGGGACCAGACAGGACGTATAACGTATCTCAGATAGTATTGAACACCAATTTCTAGGCAACTGAATTAACTGCAACCTCAGCTGCTTTTAATGTAACCAAACTAGTGCTTTGGAAGAGCTGTCTTGCATCCTATTCTTGCACAGTTATAGTTGATGAAAGCTTTGCTGCTGGTGGCAGTGAGCCACCAGCTCACTGGTGGCAGACCAAACCTTGTCTACACAGCTGTGGAAGACTTACTAGAGCTTTTCCAGCTTTCAGAGCTCCTGTAAGGCTTCTCCTTTTTAAAGGTGAATTCAATACTGTATCTGCTTTTAGAAGGAGCTTTTAGCTTTATAAAGGCACTCCGTAGAGAGCAATGTATGCAAATTTCAGTCAAATGAGTAAGATTCTTCTTCTTTCCGCAACACTTTGAATATATACATCAGTTTGCATGTTTTTGAGTTGTTGGACAACTGGTAATTTGAGCTTCTTTATTACCTCTTAGGTCACATGTGCCTCAACTGTATAATCTGCCTCAAGTTTCTAGGGTTCCCATTCTAACAACAGACATTGTAAAGTGATGCTGTTCTTCAGATGGTGTCCTGTTGGTCACTGTTTGACTGTGGTAGCCCGTTCTTCTTAGTCTTCTGGAAGAGAAACTGTTCTGATCACAGTTTTGTCCAGTGCTTGTCTATGTCAAGAGAAGACAGAAATTAAGTCTTTCATCTCTTAGAGTTAAGGTGTGAGACTTCTTGTAAGACACAGCAAGGTAGTATAGGTCAGGATGAGTTTAGTGCTACCCTGAGTGAGGCTTAATGCTGTTTGGGTAGCACAGTGTTACCAAATACCAACTGACTTTTTCTACACCGTTTGCATTGCACTCTCTACATATGATAGTTGATAGAGTGCATATGTACCTTCACAGAGAAGGTCCACTATACATGGTAGAAGTAAAACCAAAAGGAGATTAAAACAAATAACACTGGGGAGTAGGGAGATAGTTCAGTAAATTATACTGTAGTAGCAGAGATTTCTGAGACTGTCTGTTGCACTCAGCCTTTCATTTCAGGCAGTATTTACAGAGTAATGACAACTGTGGTTAATGTGACACACTGTGTATTACTGTCTCGGCCACTGTGCCGATTGATTCAAAATCAATGGATGATGTATACTGCATATATCCTTGTTTTTTCCTGAAGGTTGTGGGTCTTTGAAGTCTAAATTGAACAACACATACAAAGATTTCAAGAAGATGACTGCAGTCGCCTATGTAACATATGTCATAGATACAGAGCAGGCAAAATCACCTTCTTTCCACTCTCAGAATGGTACAAACATTGTTAATATAGGCAAGGGAAACACAATGTATGGCTACGAAAATGGACCATTGATTCCACTTCGTTCATACAGGTATTTATCTGTCAAACCTTTGTTTGGTTAATTTTGCTGCAGTTGAAATCTAGAAGATGATCTAATGAAAAGATTACAGATCTTGCTTAAGGCTATTAAAACCATGTAATGTACATGTTTTTGTTTTTTCTTCTCCTTTATCAACAGGGCAAGTGTTGCAGGTTTCACTAACATAACCTTTAGCATGGTCAACATCATTGTTGCGGAAGATAGTTATGTATCGTTTTCACCCTGTTCTGAGGCGGTTTTGCTACCGCAGGATCCAGGTATTGTTAATGTCAAATATAGGACTGGCAGCTTGGCACATATACAGTGTGTGGAGGTTCTTTAATTATGGCAAGTTTCATAATAGCAAAACACCTGTTGGTTTCTTTGTGACGGACTGTTCCTTTCTAGCTTTGTGGTGACACTGCTCTGTAAATTCATACCTTGCTGATTCTGTGGGTCACCATGTATGATTTCTAATGTGGAAGTAATCAAACGCTGTGCTATTCATGGCATGCCAGAAGGGATTGTATGGCACAGTGAGACTTTGGCATGGAAACAAGTGGCAAAAAGCAGTTAGTGTTCTAACAGTTCCGGTAAATTAGAAGCGGCTGTACTGGAATGCAAATACTGGTCTTTTGATCCCAATTTTTTATTAATTTATCATTCTTGGTTTATTATTCTTAATGAAATTTCAATACTGGTACTGCCAAAGGACACAGTAAAGGAAAGACATTTAGTAGAGCAGAGTGTGCTCTGTCACTTGTGAGGTTCTCTTGTAGCATGTTGATTGAGTTAGATCATTACCAAAGAGGTAAATCAGTCATGAGTAATACTTGTTCTCTTTTATCAGGTGTTATTGCTGGAGCTGTTATTGGATGCCTTTTAGCTATATTGGCTGTAGTTGCTGTAGGGGGTTTCATATTCTGGAAAAGGAGAAGGTAATGTGTGTTCATTATTGTATTTGTTGTGATGAGGAACACCAGTATTTCACTTCTGTATCTTTCTCCAAAAAGGCCTCTCTCTCTGTTTTATACACTTCCATCATGATGCTTTAAAATACATTCTATTAAAAATCTTGTTTGCATGTTACAGATTACAGTTGATGTATTAAACTAGTTAAATGACTGTTCAACCCCATAGTTACAAACTAATGAGTTAAGATTTGTTTTGTTTAGCTCTTTTGAGTTCATGCATGCTGATGAAGTAATTCAGTCAGAATTGAGCAAACATCACAAATTGTTGTGCTGAAAGACATATGTAATTGTATCTTAGATGGTTTTATTTTAAATTATCCATTAATCACGCTTTGTAATTGCTTGATGGCCTGTCACATGAAACTTCCATTCTGGAGTTTCCAGAAGCTGATGAGTTCCCTAGTGTTTGAGCTGGTCTCTCAGTTTCCAGTCTTTTCCAAATAATCTGGGACTTAAGAGTCCACAAAGGCTTTTTCCTGCTTCTGATCATGTGGTATATCCTTTCTAAAGAGTTGGCTATAGGGCCTTTAGTCCAGTTTTCTTAGTTTCTTTGATTAACTGGTGTTATTTCTACAAGCATGTCCAGTAGCTGTGGACAATAATGAGAAAAGCTTCCTTTAAAGCTAGAAACAATTATTTTCATTCAACTACCACTTGTAGTACCACTATACTACAGTGTATAGTGTTTCAGTACCACTGACACATCACTGTTGAACCCTTACTGTAGGGATGCTGAGATTAGTAGCAATTCTTCTGAGATGTTAGGTAGCGATGCAGACCCCTCAGATGTACTTCTGCCACCAAACTATGTGCTTTGTGTTCAGGTGTTACACTCTGGTTCCAACAGAAAGAAATGGCCCCATTGCACATCATCACTGAATGAAGGATGAAGTATTTTGTTCTTACTCCAAGTGTAAGGTTTGCCTCAGGAGGGGTTTTTTTTGCACAGGAGGAGATGCTTTAAAAGAAATTGTTCTGAACAGGCAGAGGAAATAGCTGTCATCAGAAATCTCATACGCATTCCATTAAATTCTGGTGTGAACCTATTGTGTTATTTTCTTTCTCGTTATAGGAAAGATAAAAGAAATACTGAAGTGTCCTTTTCTCCAATTAAGTAAGTCCATATCCTTTCACACATTGTTTTCTGAGCTCAAGTGATATTGGCAAAACTCACTCTGAACCCTGATACTTGTTTTCTGTGCAGTGTTACACAGAATTTTGCAGTATGGAATTTAAAGACTCCAGTCTGCAGACTAAAAGTAATCATATTGATTGAGACTTCCAGAGCTGCTACAGGGATTTGACTGCTCACTTCATGAATTGCTATTAGACACGCAAATGCTCCACGTAGTTTTGAAGAACTGGATGTTTGAATGAAACGCAGGCTTCTGTGCACATTGAGGAAACAATCCAAATTGTTGATAAAGTGCACATAGCCAAAATTCTGCACTGTGGCCTGAGTTTTCCTTTGCTTTATGACTACTTTGAGCCATTAATGTGGATAATGTTGAGATTGTAAAAGGGTAAAAGGCCATGGGAGGGTAACCACAATGTATTGCAAGTGACAGGCAGTGCAGTTGAGTCACATTATTGGTTCTTGTACCAATTTTTGTGCTGAGGGAAAGGCATGGCCAGAGCATCCCATGAAGTCCCACCTGTGTAGACTTTAATAGTTGACATTAAAATACACCAGGGAATGGGGCCAATCCGATGGAAGTACCAAAGTGGCTGACTGATACCTTCTGTGATAATCTTCTCCTGAAGGATGTGCTGTTCTCTCCTTGGTTTAACAGATGGGTTAAATGCTATGCTTGATATCCTGTCCCCTGTAAATGCACAGTTTTGTGGCTGCTACTAACAGTCATGCTTTCATTCTTAGATTCACATAGTGAAAAATACAGCTGCATGTGTCTAATCAACCTTTTTTTCTTCCCCCCACCCTCCCCTGAAGAATCAAGAAGTAAGTAAAGCACACTTTCTAACACATTAACTGAATTCATGGTTTATTTACCTAATACCAGTTACCAATACGTGGCTTTTCTCATTTTAGATCAAAAATGATTAAAGTGGAGAACTTTGAGTCCTACTTTAAGAAGCAGCAAGCTGACTCCAACTGTGGCTTTGCTGAAGAGTATGAGGTATGTGCCCTCAGTGGAAACTGCTTCATGACAAATATTTCTGGAAAGGCAAATTAGCTTTCCTGTGGAGAGTGTACGCAAGGCTTACTGAGGGCGAAGAAAAGGGACTTTATTACAGAGACTATAAAGCCGCATGTATAGCCTTCCCTTCCCTGATTCAGCTATGAATTTAGTTGAAGTGCATGATAAATACTTCACATCCTGAACCATTATCTCTACCTGTGAGCTTATAGCATGGCCTGTTGCACACAGCTCTCACCAGAGCTGGGATTTTCAGAGTCCTTGCCCTAGTTGCACTGCAGAGTTGGCCTAGGGAAAGCTGTTTAACTTCCCTGCACTTAGGGTTTTTTAATCTTCTTGTTGCTTTTCTACACAGCAAGACAGGTCTCTTGCTAATATCACTGACTTCTTTAATGCGCAGGTGTGATTTGCAACCCACACCTGTGAGTAGCTCGAGGGAGCAGTCAGAGAAACAGCAGTTATGATTTGCTTAGTGACCGTAACTGTTCTTCTATGAAATGTGCTAAAGCTCAGTTGCTATAAGGTATGAAAGACAGGAATCGAGCATCAGTAAGGATTCTATGTTGTCATGTCTGCTGTTTTAAAGAATCTCTTTTTTTTTTTTTTCCTTCATCTCCTTGAAGCTATTAATTGACTTCCTCCTTCTTTCCAGATCAGATTCTGTCCTTTTGATCGTACTTTGCAGGCTGGTGCTCTGCCTTGACTTCATCTCAGATTTTGCTTCCTTCAGTCCTTTCATAATGTACTTGCTCCCTTTCTGCCTGTAACATCCTCATAGTTTACGGCGAAGTCATTCGCTGCCTTGGGGTCCAAATGAGTGTGCAGCTGATGTCAATGTCCTGTATTTCTGCAAAACCATTGCTGGGCTTTTAAAAGCTCATCTCTGGGTTTTAAACATGCTACTGTTCCTACGTTCTGTATTAATCCTTTCTCTATCCAGTTTGCTACTGTCACCATCACACTCTGTAAAAAGCTGATTTTTATCATCATTTATGCCAGTTTCACATGCCAACTTTTACAGCAAAGGCCAAGAGGGTTTGGAGTATTTGTCTGTTTCAGTCACATGTTTCTGTGTTATCCCTAAACCACAACCAGGTGCTCATGAATACTTCTTTTATTGTAGGAACTCAAGTCTGCTGGCGTTCATCAGCCCAAATTTGCTGCTGAACTGGCTGAGAACAGGGGAAAAAATAGATATAACAACGTCTTACCTTGTGAGTTACTCTCTTAGGTTTTGCATCTTCTACTGGTTGAGTTTTTAGGTGAAAAACCTTGGGTTTGGCTAATCTGTCTTTAATAGTACCCAGAAGTTTCAAAGAGGAGTTAATGTCATCAATTTCCAAGTGAATTAATTTGGGCTGTTGCTTTCCCAAAATCACTGTGTAAGCAAACCTAACTTTCCCTTAATTAAATAATTTTAATTTTCCATTCATGAGAAACCTGCAGTCCAGATTGAAAAAAACAGAGGTTAATGGTTGAATATGGACAGACAGATGTGTGGAGCTATGAGAAATATTAAGACCCTGCTGGCCAGCTGTGCAGATGAACCAAGAGCCTAAGCCCTGCCAGGCTGTCTGCGGGCACCCCAAAGTAGCAGAGTGCAAGAAGGAATTGGAAGGCAAACAGTGAAGGGTACTTAGGAATGCTTTGGAGGAAAAACATCATCTGCAATGGCAGCAGGAGACAAATTACCTATTTTTCTTCAGTAATTAAAACTATAGTAAATTTTGTGTGGATTAAAATATATAAATATGCAAAACCAAACCATGTTTAAAAAAGTAATCTGAGTATTCTGAATTTTTATCCTGGCCACTCATTTTTCTGAAGGCTTTCATTATAAAAATTCTAAACTCATCATCTATTTATGATTCCTGAAGTTATATTCTTATTCTTAGAATGCATATTGTTCTAAAACACCTTTTGTTTAGAAACCATGCATTAGATAAGCAGTATTTTGCTGAAAGGTTCTAGTTCTAAAATTCGTAATTTTCCTTTTTTCTTTTGGCAGATGATATTTCTCGTGTTAAACTTTCAGATCAAAGCTCTGCAGCTGATGACTATATTAATGCAAACTATATGCCTGTAAGTTGCTTCATTAGTTGAAATTAAATACAATGTGTATTTTTATTATGTGGTCTTAACAGATCATAATGACGTTTAAAATCAGCTTTTTATGTCTCGCTGGTGCAAGCATGTCTGTGTATATTTATTTATTTTGATTTTTTATTATTCTTCTTAGGGCTATAACTCAAAAAAGGCATTTATTGCTGCACAGGGTCCTTTACCCAATACCATTGAAGACTTCTGGCGCATGATTTGGGAAAAGAACATCTACTCTATTGTTATGTTGACAAAATGTGTTGAACAAGCCCGGGTATGTTTTTATTAAAACTGAACTGTCTCTTGAAGAAGGTTGGATCTCTTCTAATTTTGTTGTTAGACTTTCTTTTAACAACCATCCACTTACTGGAAGACTGTTTTCTAAATTAAATAGGCCAAATTTTTTTAGCTTTTTCCCTTTTTTATATCTGCCGACTGTCAGAATAGATTGTCTCAGGAGGGTTGTGGATTCGCTGCATTTAAGGCTGGGTTCTTCTCCCTAAAGAATGATTTTGGTAGAGCTTCTCCTGCCTTGAGATAGACCATTGGGAAGGGCGACGTGCTTTCTAACCCCGCTTCAGGTGGTGTGTTACTTAAAACTAACCGTCAGTTGCTTCGTTGCTGTGTGTAATGTGTCTAACCTTGTAACTCTTTTCTTAGACAAAATGTGAGCAGTACTGGCCAGACAAACAATCCAAGAGCTACGGTGACGTTATTGTGACAATGGTCTCAGAGATTGTCCTTCCAGAATGGACAATAAGGGACTTCACTGTAGAAAAGGTGAGTACACCCTCAGCTGTGAGCTGTGTACACCTATCTGTAGAAGTGGTTTATCATATAACTGTAACTTCAAATGTCAAGCAACACTGGAGTGACAGAATATAATAATTTCACTAAAATGTAATCAAAGTTAACTGAGGGGAAAGGGTAAGAGTGGTTTATTTTAATTTGAGGCTTTGAATGTATTGGTCTGCTTTCTGCTAAAAGTCTGATTTAAAATCTTTCATGGCATTTACTGACAATGAGGCTCTGGTGATATTCATGTATATGCATTTGTTTATATGTCCTGGCATCCCACAACAGTGTTTTAGTAACATATCCAGAGATGGGAGTGAGTTGTCAGTAAGATCCTCTCTGTTGGCAGAAAGCTATCTGCCAGCAAAATCCAGCCCGCTAATGGGAATTACTGATTGTCCCATCAGTGATCCTGCAGCTCCTGTTTCTCTGCCCGAGACTTCGGGTTTGGACCTTTGGTTTGTGCAGATACTTGGAATATCTGCTAGACTGCACAATTAGCAGTGTCAGCAAATGTAATGCAAAAGATATGATCTTGGAGTAAAGTGAAAAGTAAAAGGAAATTATTTCAAAGTATTCTCTCCCAGAGTAGAAGGAAGAGGGAAACTGAAATATCATTGATCAAATTACTGTGCAGTTTTTAACAGGTATCTTTAATGAAGCTGAGCTTTGCCTGGTACTTACGGTAGGGAGCCCTACTGTTGCTCCTCTGAAGCCTGTTTGTTTTCTGTTTTTTTTAACGTGTATTCCTGTAGTCCAACACACCAGAGAGCCACACAGTGCGCCAGTTCCATTTCACCTCCTGGCCAGATCACGGAGTGCCAGAGACAACAGACCTTCTCATCAACTTCAGGCACCTTGTTCATGAATATAGCAGTCAAAATCCAATCGACTCTCCTACTCTGGTGCACTGCAGGTAGGAAGAACATGTTTGTGTTAGAAACGCTTTTATTTTGTGGCTTTTTAGAGAACAATGTGATTAAAAAAAAAAGGAAAAATAAGTCTCTTTGCTGAAGGACATGGGCTGTTCACCCTGCGGAATTAAAACCTTTGCCCCAACATAGCAATGCTGTACAGATAGCAAAGTACATGATACAAAATTTTGTTAAAATAGACTGTCTCTCCTAGCCTGGAAAACTTAGCTGAAAAAGTTGCCTTTTCAAGTGCTTTCATATGTAATCTCGTGCAAGTGTAAGGCTGGGAAGCCCAGAAGCATGTCCTCCTTCCCTCCCTCTTGGCGGTGGTAAGAACCATCTCTCTGGACTGCAGAGGCTTGTAATACCTGTGCCACTGAAACGACAGAAAGCATCTTACGAGCTTCACTGGCTTTTCATCAGGCCACCCGTTAGCAGGTAGTTGAGAGAAAGCACTAACTAGCTTCCCCGTGTCACCACAGTGCTGGTGTCGGGAGGACAGGGACATTCATCGCCATTGACCGCCTGATTCAGCAGATTGAAATGGAGAATACTGTGGATGTGTATGGAGTGGTGTATGATCTTCGCATGCACCGACCATTAATGGTGCAAACTGAGGTAAGGCTGTCTTTCATCCAGCAGCATGTTTTTCGAATGTGCATAATAATCCAGAAAAGGTGGATTCAAGATGTAGCTCAGAATTGCAGGGAGATGAGGTATTAAGGAGCAATCTGAAACGGCTCTGTATTAACTTCCCTCCCTCGTGCCTCATCTCTTCCCACAACAGTAGTGGCAGGCAGTGGCCGTCGCACGTCCAAGCAATCTCTTTGTTACAGAGTATTTTGTAGGACTAGCATTTGCAGCTGGAAAGAATCAAATACTGAAAAAGTTTTGGGGTTTTTTACAGCTTGTTTTACCCATGTGAGTTTTATCTCTATAGCTGTGAGCCAGAATTATCTTGAGTCAAGAGGTCTCAGTGCACATCTTTTCTTTTGTGTTCTGCAGAAACACACGTGTTCCTCCTGAAATTATCACTTTGATCCAAAAAGATGTGTGGATTAACTCAAGCTGATTTGGAAAAGGCTGTAAAAAACCTCCATCATGAAAGTCTTTTAAGACAGTGTTAGGCATGACAGTAAATTTGGCCCTACTTTGTATGGAGGGATTGATCAGATGACACCATGAGGTCCTTTCCAGCCCTGTTTTCTATGAACTATACATACAACTTCTAAAAAATACTCTGAGATAACATTCAATGCAGTGAATCCAAAAATTTAGGAGCAGGATTACTTCCAAAATCAGGTCTTTTCTAGAAATATATTACCCTACTTTTTCTTTTTCTCCCATCAGGACCAGTACGTCTTCCTAAACCAGTGTGTTATGGATATTATTAGATCCCAGAAAGAGAAGAAAACCGATCTTATTTACCAAAACACGACAGCAATGGCAATCTATGAAAATTTCACACCTGGGCCAGGCTTCGGGAAGGCCAATGGCTACCACACATAGCCTGGAAGGAACGCAGCGTCTCCAGGAGGTGTTGCCTGCGCATAGGAAAGGGAGATGTTTTACTCATGTTTTCCGGGATTGTGTGCAGTGTCTCATGTCTGGCTGCTCCAGTTCTGTCCGCATTCGAAGATGTGACCTACAGGAGGGAAAACACAATGCTGGCAGGAGCTGCAGATTGATATTAAAAAAAAAAAACAAAACACCCAAGCAAAACTATTTAAAGTTAACAGAGGAATCCTGCTTTTTCTTGGGAATTTAACAGTGCTGATAGATGAAATAGCATTTGCAGTATGAATGGTGAACTACAATTTAAATATTAAAATAATAACACAAGCTTTTTATTACAATTTTATATTATTTCATTTACAGACACCAGACTTGTGGGCTGTTTTAATATATTTAATTATAAGTTTCAGGAACATATTTTATCTACTGTATCTGGTTACTTAGCTAATAGATATGTGCCTCTGTGATTTTTATTTTTTTTCTGTGTTCCTTTTTATTTAAAAAAGGAGTACAAACAACTCCTACAAATGGACATTTATACTTGGAAATTGTGCCTTTTCTAGTTGCTACTCTAGAAAAAAAAACAGCAGAGATTCTATTTTTATACTGAAACTCTTAATGAGAACACAGATTTTTTTAACTAAGGCTTATGTCAAACTTAACTGTAGTTGCACTGTTGGCAGGACTCTCTAGAAGTTTGGAGGTGAGCTTTCTTTTTGCATTTCACCACAAATATCCCCTGCCTTAATGTTTTGGTGCCTCTGCTAGAGGAAGAGGAGTGTGGTCTGTCACTCCAAGCTTTAACTATAAGTAAAAAACCTGAGCAAGCGAATACATGAACGTGTGTGCGGGGGTGTGTGTGGGTGTGTATGAAGGACAGAATAGCTCCTCCCTGTTCCTGGCTGATATTCCTGTTTTTATACAATTTATAATGACTTATTTAAAGGTGCAATATATGATTTACTGAATAATGATCACTCTATTCTAATAGAGTTTTACTCAGGTTGGTGTCTTATTATTGTTGTTCTTTTTCCTCAAATATAGAAATCTGTGAAAATGTCGAACTAAGGTTCCAAGTGTCCAAACACTCCCAAACAGATTGACTGGCTTTACTGTTTCTACCAAAACAAATTGCACAAAATTCTGCTGTAAAGACCAATTTCTCAGTTGTTTTAGCCATTCAGAACTGAGACACATCTTACTTGCCTGCATCTCATTAATGATTGTTTTATAATTATTTGTGATATACTGCTGCTGTTGTTGTAACTGGTCCTTTTAAAAACAGAACAAACAAGCAGAAGACCCCTAGTTGCTGATTTTACGAGTCAGGAATTAGCATGGATTTATTTTGCTGGTACGGAACTGTTAGACTTACGAAGGCATTACCATTGAAGGACTTCTTAATTAGCTGGGGGGGCGGGTTGGTCTTCGGGTCATTGCACTGGTTGCATTGCAAAGGAATATGAAGTTTATGAATAATGCTATAGAATAGCTATAAAGTGGTGAAAAATCTTATGAAGGTTTAATAACCAGAGTCCCTGGAATTCTGCTGCTTTTTTGGATTTGTTTTTGTTTTTGTTTTAGCAGAGTTGTAAGAAAAAGCTACAGATACTAGGAGTATATGTGGCATTACAGTGGAATCTGGCAACCTTGCAGAATCCACTGTCAGCTGAAGGAAAACACGGGAATTCCTGATGCACAACTGTAACTTTACAGACACCCAGAGGAATTTTTTACAACCTGGTGTGAAATTGTGGTGTGCTATGTGAGCAAAACTGGAGGACAAACCACAGTGCGCTTCAGCTTTTTTTTTTTTGTAGCAGCCACTTGTGTGTTCTTGAATATACTTTTTTCTCTCTTTCTCTGAAATACTTTTAAAAAAAAATATTTTTTTTTTTAAAAAAAACAGCATTGATAATCCTGCCCAACTCCATCCAAACTGGCAGTTCACATAGTGGATCTCTCCCCAGCATTCTTCCTAAGCTGCTGTCGGATGACAAACAAAGATAAACCACTTGGACCAAACAGAACCATTCCAAAGGAACTGGGAGGGAGGATAGCCTGTCCCTTACAGTCACATTGTTTTTTTCTCTCATTATCTTTTAATTACTGCACGTCTGTGCAGAGCACAGAGCCAGTATTCATTATTCCAGGTCTCCCAAGAACTTGCTGCCTTAGGGTGATGAATGCTCTCTTGCTACAGAAGGCCCTTGTTTTCTATAGCACAGGAGAGAGGGAGATGGATCTTCTATGCTAGATCATGCGTTTGTGTTACATTGCAGGAGAACATCAGAAAACTAGCTAGAATCGTATCTGTTTCTGCCTAACCACTGCCCAGATACTCTTGCAGAACACAAAAGTATCTTTCCTATAATCCTGATGTTGTAAGCAGGTGCCAAATTCTCGCTTGTGTCATCATCTAATGAGTATCCATTTTTAATACAACTGTATGCACGTGTTTTCCCAAAACTGACTCATTGTAAGAAGAGACTGAAGTAAATGACCTACTGATCCCAGGCATAGTTGGAAAAAGTTGGTAAGGCTTAAAATGTTGTAAACATGAAGTTGGCCATAGTGTCGATGGGAATAAGGAGGACTTGCCTCACAGGGTAGCTCTGCAGGAGGAGGAGGATTGCAGATAACGCTCTACTACCTTGTGGATCTGTCTTGGTCGAGATGACTTGAATTCCTCCAAATAACTTTTCCCTGCCTTCTGATGTTCTCAGTGCTACAATTGCAGAGATCTGTCTCTTTGGTCAATGTTTTCTCTTGTTGTTGCCTATCTGCTTTTTGGGCTGAAAGCTCCACTGTGTGGCAATAGCATCTCCTGCATTTCTGTTCTACCCTTTTTCCCATTTGAGGCCTGCTTAAGAAGGGAAAAGTTGATGTGTTTCAAATAAGTGACTGTTGAATATCTTGAAATGATGTACAAATTTTATTGTTTTCATATTTGTTGTACAGGAAGTTTCAGCACATGTCTATAATGTTTTTAATGGTTTGATTTCTTTTTAAAGATATAAAAATAACAATTAAAAAGCATCATCCTAGAGCATTTTCTGTCTTGTTTTCTTTCTTGGATTTTTTTTTTTTTTCCAGTTCCTGTTGAATAAAATCAGTTTGACAAATTGCCCATTTCATTTATAAGGGCTTTAGAATGGATAAGGAAAGTGGACTCCAGTCCTCTAGGGTGGCACTTGAGTCAGGTGTGTGTTACAGTCACTGGGGCTCCCTGCGAAGGTGTTCATCTGTCATTGAGACTTGCCTGGCAGGAGCAGGGCCTGATGCTTATGTGTCCTGGCAGTTGGTGGCTTCTCTAAACGAAGAGCTTGGTACCAGTTAAAGGAACGATACGTTCCTCTGAGGTCAATCAAAAGATTTCCACCCCCTGAAATAGCCTTGGGAGAGGACCCGTGTTTCTAGGACTCATTTACTTCCAGAAAAACAAGAGTGAGGACTCTCTTGTCCCTTGAAGGGGATTTTCTTTTGTCAGGAGGAGACTGTTGAAGGGGTGAGAAATATCTTTGTTACAGCTGTCATCTTGATTACAGATTACCTGGCTGCAGATGCATATAAAATTACTTCAGTTAAGTCCATTTCTTCTAAAATTCTTAGTTTCCATTCCTGGTTGTCATCTGACTCACTCCCAAGGAGGATCACATGCCTGGAGGGTAATAGTGGAACTCAGCAGCTTTCCAATTCCTCACTGGGTGCTGACGCTGTAGAATCTTGTGATCCTCCATGGTAACTCAGCTGCGTTTTTGGAAACGAGTGCATGGTGAGATGGTGAGAGCAAAGCGTGATTGTCTCATCATCTTCCAGTAGGAGCATGTGCCAGCCACACAACGGTTGTCTGAGTGCTCTTGCTGAGACTCAGGCTGCAGAAGAGAAGCTGTGACAATGAACCTCCCAGTGCAGGACCTGCAGGAGCTGACCATCAGTGCCAGGGGCAATCAGTCTCAGGGAGACTTTCAGGGAGCAAAATTCCTCACTTCCCCCCCAACACACACACACTTTAAATCACATAGGTTTGTTTGAAATACTAGAACTTCAGTAAAGCCAACTGTTTTGGCTGTCATTTGGAGTGTTAGTTTGTTCGGGCGGGTAGAGTTGAACCCATGTATCTGGAAATCACGTTCTGTACCTGGTCTTGTCATTTACTGGTGTTACTGCCTTTGAGACTAAAAAGGTGGAGGTCAGAGAGGAGAGGATGTAACATTTTTGCCCAGTTATTTGCTTGATAAATGGGATGCAGTCAGAAATACTGCTGCCCTTGCATGCCCTCCCTGGCTGGGTGTTATCTCCAGCATGGACTTTGGAGATGAACAGTTGTGGATGTTCTTGCAGAAGAGGGTCAGAAATGGGAGCTTGGAAGGGAAAAATACTTGAAAGCTTTGTGCATTCTGCTTTGTCCAAGCAAAAAGAAAAAGCCTCTTAGCGATGGGAAGGATACTAGGTCTTAATAGCTCCTGGGTGATCTGAGTAAAAACTAATTAAAAGATGCAGATGCAATCACTTTTATCCAGGGGCAGAACGAGGGGCAAGCAAAGATCCATGGTTTACTTGCTTCTGAGGTAGGTAGGTACAGTGTTCTCCCACTTCTCATACCCACCAGCAAAGTTACTGTACTTCCTTTTTCCAGTCACCATGGCTCTGCCTCAGGGAGTCACTTTCTGCTCTTCACAGAAGACATCGTGTTGTTGAAACCAATGGCTTTAAACAGTTTCATTTCCAGTACTTTGCAGAAATGTTTATGGAGTTGGTACCAAACAGCACCTCTCTCTAGCGTTGTGCTTCATTCCATTCTCCCTCCTCTCGGCTTGGGCAAACTTCACCCAAGCCAGCCTCCTGCCTGCAGGGGAGGAAGAGGAGGCAAACGAAGCAGAAAACCTGACTTGGAAGCACCAGGAGGAGCAGCTTCCTGCCTGCTTCGCTGGCAGAAGGGGAAGAGCTCTTTGTACGTCTCACAAGGGGGAGAAGCTGAGAGCCCCTCTTGGACTATTTCTTACCTCTGGAGAAAAAGATTCAGGATCCAGGCCTGTTCTTCTTTGTCCCTGTTACTTAATTCCAGTAATAATTCAAGTTGCCTTTTTTTTTGTTTCATCTTAAGTTAATAGCCGTAATCTCCTGACAGCCAGAAGCAAAACTGGCAGATTAGCCCCTCTCACTGAGAAAAGGTAGTCTACTTTGATACAAAATGAGTTACTTTAACTCACATTTTACCTCCAACTTTCCAAGTGACCAGGAAAAAGCCAGATTCTTTGGAATGATGTTCTGGATGTAATGCTAGGGTTTCATGGACATCCTTAGTATATTAGTAGTGCTTACAAGAAGCTTTCTAGGGACACAAGAGCTGTGTGCTGGGGACAGAATGTTCTCCACACACCATGCCATGTCTCTGCCCTTG